ACATATGTGCCCAGAATCAACCAGCTAACAAAGTAACATTCTTCTTTGTGTATCCTTTAGGCATTAATTGAGTGCCTACTGCAGGCCAGGCTTTGTCAGAAGTGTTCTAAGAGTCATCAAAGGGTGCCTTTGTGCAGCTCCTGGGTTTATTAGGAGACTTTCTCTCTGTTAAGCAGCTGAGCTCAGTTAATCCCCTAGCATTCCTCAGAGTGGGGGTCATTATCCCCATTTTACAGATGGGAACACCAAGGCACCAAGAGGTTAACTAACAGGTGGAAGATCTCAGAGTCCATAACTGGGACATCCAGGACCATGCCCTGGCAACCTGACTCCAGAAATGGAGGGACAAGAATTACCTTGCCTGAGAACACTCCAGTCCTGAATTCACAGGGGAAGGTCAGCTGTGGAGGCCCCCAGTTAGGGTGTCAAGACTTAGCACCACCCAAATGGAAAAGTCACCCCAACAGGCACTGGCAGATCAGAAGGAGAATTCAAGTTAAATGCCACTGAGGGGATCAGGGAAGGCTTCCTGGAGGAGGAGGAGGAGGGGCTGAATGGGGACCCCAAGAGCCCCAAGAGTGGAAGCCTAAGTCAGGCAGGGGCTCTGGAGCACCTTGTTTAGCTGGAAAGGACTCACGGGAAGAGAAAATCAAGACATTCTGGTCATTAATCTGAGCTCATCACCAGGGCTCTGCAGGACATGGCCCAGAAATCTTGAAATGTTCCCCAGGGATCAGTTGCCCTTCTAGACATTTTAATTGAGTGCCTACTGTGTGTCAGACCCTTGCCGTGTGCTCCCTGGCCTTAAATTGCTCACAGTCAAGCAGGGATAACACAGAGTGACATGTGCTTGATGGAAAACATAGAGAACAGCAGGGTCTCCCGAGAGGGCCAGGGACCCTCTTAACTTGGGGAGCTCAGAAGGTTTCCAAGGGGAGCCATCATCTAAGTCGGCACCCAGAGAATAGGATGGGGTCTCAGGAAGAGGAAGGGGGATGGAGTTCCAGGCACAGGCACCAGTATGCAAGAGCTGGGAGGGGGGCCACGGATGGAGCTTGAGGGTGTCATGTGGGGAGCAGGAAATAGGGTCTCAGCAGTGGTTGGGATTTGCAAATCAGCTGAACAAACAGGGCTGTGCCTGTGAGAGGGAAGTTCCAGCTCTTCATGAATAAGTCAGCACAGAAATGCTCAAATGGGTTACTTTGAGGGTGGGGGGGGGGGGGTGGTCAGTCCACATCAAATTTAATGATATCCACACACCGTCTCTATCAATCTCTTTCCATAATCCCTATTAGACAGGTCCTATTATCATCCCCATTTTATAAATGAGGAAACTGAGGCTCGGAGAGTAAAGTCACTTACCAGGCATCTGAATTCAGAGCCCAAACTTCCAGCTGCTGCAAAAAGCAGAGGCTTCTTCCCCAGAGGATGGCTGGGGCAGAGTCTTCTCTATCCAGCCATTGTGGAAGCTCCTCCCACCTTCCCAGTGGCCTCACCCTGTCCTGTCCTAGTCACACCCATCAGTGAGGCTCCCTGCCTCCTTCTGCCAGCCAGCTCCTATTCATCCTGCAGGACCCAACTCAGATGTGCCCACCCCTGGGAAGCTTTCTTGGCCACACTGCTCCCCTTGGGGTCATTTCTCTCTGTGAAGGGCACCGTGTCCTTGGGGCCATTTTCTGGATTTCTTGATTAACAGCCTGATGTCCCTCCATAGCACCATCATCACTTTGCCAACAAAGGTCCATAGAGTCAAAGCTATGGTTCTTCCAGTAGTCATGTATGGATGTGAGTTGGTCCATAAAGAAGGTGGAATGCCAAAGAATTGATGCTTTCAAATTGTGGTGCTGGAGAAAGTTCTTGAGAATCCCTTGGACTGCAAGGAGATCAAACCAGTCAATCCTCCCTAAAGGAAATCAACCCTGAATACTCATCGGAAGGACTGATGCTGAAGCTGAAGTTCCAATACTTTGGCCATCTGATGCAAAGGACTGGATCACTGGAAAAGACCCTGATGCTGGGAAAGATTGAACGCAAAAGGAAAAGGGGGCAGCAGAGGATGAGATGGTTAGTTAGCATCACTGACTCAATGGACATGAATCTGAGCAAACTCGGAGAGATAGTGGCGGACAGGAGAGGCTGGCATGCTAGTCCATGGGGTCGTGAAATGTAGGACACGACTTAGTGACTGAACAACAATTATTTACCATTTATTAAACACTGGTACATTCCAGGCACTGTAACGCAGCAAATGCAGTAACAGTCATAGAAGTTTTAGACTAGCAATTATAACACTAACGGCCCTGATACTACCTGGGGAGGCCTCCGGCTCCAAGGAGGCAGGAGGGGTCCATGGAGGTGCAGGGAACTCAGTAGACAGTAGGGGGGGCTGGCTGACTGGAGAAGCCCTCCAGGCCACGCGCCCATCAGGACGGTGTCAGGGTGGGGAAAGGCCGGGGGGCAGCGAGGAAGGTGGGAGACCCCGTGGGGGTCCGGAGATAGGGGCCCGGAGGCACTGTCAAATGGCATGACCCAAATCAGAGGTTTAATTGACTGGGGAGGGACTGAGGAGCGCCCTAGACTGTATGTGTCTGGGTGTGTGTGTGTGTGTGTGTGTGTGTGTGTGTGTGGAGAGAGAATGGAGATGGGGTATGTGTGTATGTGAACAGAGGATGGAGATGTGCAGTGTATGTGTGTCTGTGTGTGTGTATGTAAGAGGGAAGGACGGACTGGATTACCCTTGAGTATAAGGGAAGGATCCAAGAAGACCCCAAGTCTCCTCCTGCCTGCCCAATTCCAAGAAACATACATGCATAAACCCAACTGCCCGCAATGCTGCTTAAAAGCAAGTGCTATATATATATATATATACATATATATATATACACACATATATGTATATATACACACATTCGTACATTTTTTTCCTTGAAAATCAAGAGCTGCCGCGAGTGTCAGGGAAGCGCCCCGCGCCAGGCCCCGACGCGGTAATTAACAAAGGAGCCTCGGTTTCCCCGTGCCTGTATTTACTGATCTATGCGTGCGCACACAAGGTGAGATAGGATGAATGGCTAATTTCCCAGCGGCTTTTGCTCCTGCTTGCTGCAAAGTTGTGAACAAAATGACTGGCCATGCATTGAACTGGCTTACACAGCTCTCCATATGGAAATTAAGATAATCCCGGGCCCAGCTTTGTGTCTCGGCGACGGCAGGGGACCAAGGAGGGAAGGGGAGGGGCTGGGGAGGCTCCGAAGAGACGGGGTGAGGCTCCCGGGCCTTTCAGAAGAACAGTTTACTGCGCGGGCTGGGAATTTAGCTAGATTTTGTTGGTCAAACACTCGGGAGAATGTATTCTTTCACCTCCCCCGCCCCACCCCCGCTCCCTGCCACCGTCTTTCTTCGGCTCAGACCTCACCAGGGATGGAACGCTGGGTCCAGGGTAGGAAGGTTTTAGGCAACCGCACAAAAGAGGAGGGATTATGGGTAAGGTCAGAGGGCGCTGGGGATTAGAGATATGATGTATTAAGAGGGCAAGGCTGCCAGGAATACTTTCCGTTTCTATGAAGCCTGTGTTAATTGATGGGAAAAATCTCTCCCTCCATGAATCCCCTCCCACAACCTCCTCTCCACGCTCCAAATTCAGCTTCTCTTTCTTGTGTCCTTGCCCAACTCTCTCTTGTTCCTTTCTATCTTTCCCCCTTCTCCCCTGCCACCACCACCCCAGTCTCTTCCTAGTCACAGCTTTTCTGGTGTGTTAGGGTTATAGGTGGGCTTCCCAGGTGGCACAGTGGTAAAGAATCCACTTTCCAATGCAGGAGCTGTGACAGATGCAAGTTTGATCCCTGGGTCTGGAAGAGCCCTTGGAGGAGGAAATGGCGACCCACTCCAGTATTCTTACCTGGAAAATTCCGTGGACAGAGAAGCCTGGTAGCTACAGCCCATGGGATCACAAAGAGTTGGATACAGCTGAGCACAGGGTTATAGGTAAAGGCAGTATGTTCTTGGTGAGGTGGTCCTATATAAGGGGTGAAGTTTGGGTACCATGTCCCCTGCGACATACACACACAGATATTCAGACACACACACACACACACACACACTATATATGTGTAATTAGGAGAGTTCCTTCATGTTGCTGAACCTCAATTTTCTTTCTTTCCTATCTTTTGGCTTCACCGTGCAGCATGTGGGATCTTAGTTCCCTGACCAAGAATCAAACTCATGTCTTTGCAGTGGAAGCACAGAGTATTAACCACTTGACCACCAGGGAATTCCTTGAGTCTCAATTTTCTACTGCATAAAATGGGAATTAAAATAGCAATGGTTATTTCATTTTTTTTCTCTCTTTTTCTAATTACCTGCTTTGGACCAAGCATTGTGTTGGATTCTAGGGGTTGGACATAGTGGGGAGCAAGCCCCATCCCTTCTTGGAGCTCACAGACTAGCGGAGGAATCAGGCCACAGGCAGGGAAATCAATAAAGAAAACAGAGTGTGAGGGTGAAATAAGGGACATCAACAGGGCATGGGTGACTGAGGCTAACAAGGAGTAAAGACTGCAGAGGGAAGTCTGCAGTGATGGAGGAATCAGGGCGGGCCTCCCTAAGGAGGTGTACCAAAAGGTTGAGAAGGAACTGGGCTTGGGAAGAGCAGGGAATGAGCTAGGTTCTCCAAAACCCAGCAAATACTAAGACCCCAAGGAGGGAAGGAGCTGGTGTGTATGAGTAGTGAGGAGACTGGTGTGAAGGGGCAGAGGTTCAAAGAGAGGCTACAGGAGGTCAGGTTGGAGATCAGGTGCGAACTGGGAGAGGAGATTTATTAAACCGGAAATCCGGAAGTATGTACGTCTGTACTTGTGTGTGTCACATAAGGCTGTGTCTGACTCTTTGCAACCCCATGGACTGTAGCCCACCAGTCTCCTCTGTCCACGGGACTATCCTGGCAAGAATAATGAAACGGGTAGCCACTGGACAGTATCAAGCAGAGAACTGACATAAACCAGATGGGAGGGCTTACATTTTTACAAGATCACTTGGTGCTGGGTGCAGAACACTTCATGAAACGGCCACAGAGGAGGCCAGAAGAAACCGTGAGTTTGGTGTGGGGCATCGGAGCTAGATAACCTGGGTTTGAAGACCTGCCTTCTCTACTTGTCACTTGGAAGACAGTCAACAGACAAGGGAGTCAGGGAGAACCCTGTGAATCCAATTCAGAGTTGTCCAAAGATAGAAGTGTTGCCTTGGTAAGAAGTGATCTCCCCGTCACTGGTGGCATGTAAGCAGAGAGTTGATGATGAACATCTGATAGGGATGAAGTGTTATGGTGAGAACATATAAGTTGTATGCTCATAGAAACTTTCCAGTATTAAGTCATTATGCTATTGAACTCTTTTTTCACTTAAAAATAATTTTTAAGCTTCTTTTTTAATGTGGACCATTTAAAAAATCTTTATTGAATTTGTTACAATATTGCTTCTGTTTTACGGGTTGGTTTTTTTGGTCACAAGGCACGTGGGATTTTAGCTCCCCAACCAGGAATTGAACCTACACCCTCCACATTGGAAGGTGAAGGCTTCACCACTGGACCACCAGGGAAGCCTCTACTTTTAAAATTTTAATTTAAAATGAAACCATGCCATGATTATACATGGAAAACCAGTTTCTCTTGTCATAAATTGATGGTAACCATACAAATAAGTACAAGTGACAACAAAAACAAAATTATGCTATTAATTTAAGCCAATATTTTTACCTGTTGAAGGCTCCAGGCTCTTTCTGCTCTCTCTTCATTAAAAATAGAGGTGAACAATTGTTAGAAAGATGCTAAAGACCCATCGGCACCAGTGGAGACTGTCTCCTTGCTGGAATCCCAAGACTGGAGGAAGACAAGAGAAGAAAGGCAACGATTTCTCACCATGTGATTCAAGATTATTTAAACTTCTGTGAGCTACTTACCCTGGAGGAGGAAATGGCAACCGACTCCAGTATTCTTGCCTGGAAAATCCCACGGGTGGAGGAGCCTGGCGGGCTACAGTTCTTGGGGTCACAAAGAGCTGGACACAACTGAGCAACTAACACGTTCTGTTTTTAGGAAGTGTGCTGTCCTAAATAAAGCTGCATAAGCCAATGAGACAGCCCATAGCCACGTGTGGCTATTTACATTTCAATTAATTTAAATTTAATACCATGAAAAATTCAGCTCTTAAGCCTCACTAGCCATATTCTGAGTGCTCCATCGCCACACATGAATAATGGCTACCGTACTGGGCAGTGTGGAACATTTCCATCACTGCTAAAACTTCTGTAGAACAACGCTCTTCTAAGGCATTTCCTTTTGAATCAGGGTTTGGGGGAGCTTACTGACATAAGCATGTTTCAAAACTCCCTTCTCTAAGTGCTGATGAAAGGGGTCAGGTCAGGTGTCTCTGGAGACAGCAGGGAAACAGATGGGGCGGAGGCTGCAGTGAGGCAGATGGGGTGTCAGTTCTGTCCCTTCTGGAGCTCACCAGAAACCCCTCCCACCTCTGCATCCTTAGAGAGAAGACCCCCTTGCTGCTGTCTCCCTGAGCATGGAGCCCCCTCTACGTCTCTTCAAGGCCTCTTTCTCCTCCCCACCATGCAGCATCCAGAATACCAACCCAAATGCCTATTAATGCCCATCTCAGAGACAGGCCAAGGCACAGCTGGGGTCGGGGGTGGGGAGGGAAGAGGAAGATGGCTTAGAAATTAAGATTTTGCCCAAAGTGGTCACTGAGTCTAACTTGACCATCCAAATCAGAGGCTTTCCGGCTGTCCAGTTTCACATAATCAGCCATACTACTTAATTTTCAAAATCCTTTTTTTCCCCTCCTTTAGAAAGATGCAGGGCCAGTATTTGGATGGAGCATGTTGCTGTTGTTCAGTCACTAAGTCGTGTCTGATTCTTTGCAATCTCATGGATGGTAGCCCGCCAGGCTCCTCTGTTCATGAGATTCCCCAGGCAACATTCCTGGAGGGGGTTGCTATTTCCTTCTCCAGAGAATCTTTCCTCATTAGGAACATAACTAGCCACCTATTACCTCGATTCAAACCCTAACTCTGACATTTGTTAGCTGGACAACCTTGAGCAAGTTGTTTAACCTCTCTGAGCCTCAGGTGTTCTGCCTGTAACATGGGGATTCATCGTAATATAGTGCTCACAGGATTAGGTGAAACAACATATGTAAAGTCCCTGGTGCATGGTTAATGTTAAAAGAAAATATCAGTGCTTATGTCGAGCACTGAAAAGATTAAAAAAGATATCTGTGGATATCCTGCAGAGAATATAAAGAAGTACAAAAACAATAAGGATGGTGATGGGAATGTTGCTACTAGTAACTGAGAATTTTAATATTCTAGAGGAAGTTACTCTTGGGCACCCCATTTTCCAGACCCCCAAAATCCATGATCCCCAACATTCTAAGAACATACAGTAAATATTGTTAATATCCATCCATATCTAGGTCTCAAGTTCCAGGTTCAGAAACGATTACAAGTTCTCTTTCCCTTGAAAGTAGGTGTGATCATATGACTGGATTTGGCCAATTACATATGAGCAAAAGTAATTTGCTCATTACACTGCTCATTTAAAAAAAAAAAAAAAAACAACTACATCGCTTCCTGGCCAAAGCACTGACTTCCGGATGCTTAGACTCTACCATCCTCTTCCTCTAGTGCATGGATCATGGACATGTGTGCTGAGATGTCAACAGCATAAAATGGTGACTGTTCCTCCAGCTGCATCCAGGAATGACTCCGGTGAGCAGAGACGTACCAGCTGACGAAATGAACTTTCATTGTTTTATTTTTTATTTTCTTTAGTTTTTAAAAAATGTATTCTATGTTTTTGGTTGTGCTGAGTCTTCATGGGTGCCTGCGGGCTTTCTCTAGCTGTGGAGACTGGGGGCTGCTCTCTAGCTGCTGTGTGAGGGCCCCTCATCGTGGTAGCGCCTCTTGTTTCGGAACACGGGCTCTAGGCGCAGGGGATGCCGTATCTGCAGCTCGCAGGCTCAGCAGCTGTGGCTTGATGGCTCCAGAGTCAGGCTCAGGACTTGTGGTGCACGGGCTTAGTTGCTCTGTGGCTCGTGGGATTTTCCCAGACCAGGGATCAAGCCCACGTCCTCTGCATCGGCAGGAGGACTCTCAGCCACTCTACACCAGGCAAGTCCGAACCTTTATTCTTCTAAACCGTGAGATCATCAGACTATGTTATAACAGTGAGACCTAGCCCATCCTGACTCACACAGTGCAGTTAGCCCTTTCCCAAAGGCGGCATATGAGAGGCAGAATTTAGGTTTGCTCCTACACTGAGTGGGACTTCCCAGTGGCTCAGCAGGTGAAGAACCCACCAGCAACGCAGGAGACCCAGGACGCTTGGGTTCAATCCCTGGGTCGGGAAGATCCCCTGAAGAAGGAAATGGCAACCCTCTCCAGTATTCTTGCCTGGGAAATCCCGTGGACAGAGGAGCCTGGAGGGCTACAGCCCATGGGGTCGGCAAGAGTCAGACAGGACTCCGTGACTGAGCACACACCACACTGAGTTGCGCCTCACACCACTGCTGAAGGAGCGATCACCTCTGGACTCACCAAGGCCCTGAAACTTCCCGTGCCCCCAGAACTTCAGCTTCTGCCCAGCCAGTGATCCCACACATTGTCCAGACATGGGATCCAGTTGGGACACAAAGACCCGGATCTCACCAGCCAAGAGTTACAGAAAGAATTCCAGCCCTTCACCAAACTTCCTCCTCCCTGCCTGCACCAAATGCCTGCCAACCATTATGTGATCTGGCTCAAGTCCAGAGACATATTAGTCATGACACTTTCAAAAACCCGCATCAACAAACAAGACACCACGGAGAATTCACTCCCCTCTTTCCAAACAAGAAGAGCCATATTGCTCTTCCAAAGAGCCACATCGCTAATTACGCAAACACTCTCCTAGTTACCAACAGCAGTGAGCTCTTTGCAATACTGTTTGCATGCTTTGGTTTGAAGAAAACTAAGAAAATAATTACAAGATTCTAAATTATCTGCTAAATGAAATTGTTCTTCAGTAGACTGTTGATTTTTTTTTTCTTGGCAGCTTCAAGGGTTGTTTGGGGGCTAAAGCTGCATTCCGTACTAATTGTGTAATTTGTATGACATTTGTCATTCCCTTATTTGAAGCAATAAAGCAACAATAATCTCAAAACTAATAAGAAAATCCCTTGGTCTTTGGATTTCCTGGGATGCTGTTGAGCCTGTGAGGAAATTCTGTATTGGTTTCTGGAGCCCTAGAATACAGCATTTGAGAGGCTGGGGTGAGAACCTGGCCTTTGAATTATCACGGAGCCCTTGGAAGACTCCAGAAAAGTAAGCCTTGACTCTTGCCCTTGACCTGATTGCTGAAAGGATTATCAGCTCCGGACCTCCTCAGGGCCAGCCTTGCCCTCGACTCATCTGATCTCAGTGTGTAGTTTTAGAAGTAATATTTTTGTTGGCTTTCCTGTTAAAACAAATACATAATGAGATTCATAAAAAATCATTCCCCATCCCTTCATGCAGTTCTCACCATTGTTAACAGTTCAGTAAAAATCTGTTTAAAATTTGGAATGAATAGTAAAACATTCGAGTATGTTAAGGAGCACAGATATTATGGTTGTCATATAGTGCCCCCGGGTCATTGTTGACTGAGCCACATGTCGTGATACCTGCAACTTACCACCTTTCCCTTTTCTGAAAAAATTATTTATGTATTTTTGCCTTTTCACACTGTTCATGGGGTTCTCAAGGCAAGCATACTGAAGCGGTTTGCCATTCCCTTCTCCAGTGGACCACGTTTTGTCAGAACTCTCCAGCATGACCCATCCGTCTTGGGTGGCCTTGCTCTGCATGCCTCATAGCTTCATGGAGTTACACAAGGCTATGATCCATGTGATCAAATTGTGGTGTTGGAGAACACTCTTGAGAGTCCCTTGGACTGCAAGGAGATCGAATCAATCAATCCTAAAGGAAATCAACCCTGAATATTCACTGGAAGGACTGATGCTGAAACTGCAGTACTTTGGCCACCGACACAAAGAGCCAATTCATTGGGAAAGACTGTAATGCTGGGAAAGATTGAGGGCAGGAGGAGAAGGGGATGACAGAGGATGAGATGGTTGGGTGGCATCCCTGATTCAATGAACAACCTCCGGGAGATAGAGAAGGACAGGGAAGCCTGGGGTGCTGCAGTCCATGGGGTCGCAAAGAGTCAGACATGACATAATGACTGAACAACAAGGATTCCAGCCTCCTGGGTTTCATACCCTGCAGAGGATGGGCAGGGCCTTGGCTTGCTTCTAACCAATAGAATACAGCAAAGGTGGTAGATGTCACTTCCTTGATGATATAACACAAGACTGTCACTTCCATCTTGCTGGTCAACTCTTTCTCTTGCTGATTTTGATGAAGGCAGCTGCCACCTCTACCAGGCAGAAGTCGGCCTCTGCTCCAGCGATGAGAGCAATGCACTGGGCACAGCTTTGTGTTGCAGCAAAATTTCTGGGAGCATGTTTCTGCGTCCTCAGAGGAGGAACAGTCTTTAAGGAGTATAGATTTTTTTTTTAAATTTCATTTCTTTATTTATTTGGCTGCATCAGATCTTAGTTGTGGCGTGCAGGATCTTCACTGAGGCACAGGGGCTTAGTTGCCCCGTGGCATCTGGGATCTTAGTTCCCTGGCCAGGAATCGAACCCTCATCCCCTGCATTGGAAGGCATATTCTTAACCACTGGACCACCAGGGAGGTCCCAGGAGTATAGCATTTTAATTGCTAATTAAATAGGCTCATTGGCAATAATATAGAAATTTGCTGAGTGCTTCATACAAAGCATGCTAG